CTCTCTCTCTCTCTCTCTCTCTCTCTCTCTCTCTCTCTCTCTCTCTCTCTCTCATCCCGATGCGGGCAGTCCAACGCCTCGCACCCACACAGAGTTGTCAACCCACTTAACCTGAGCATGCAAGCCATGTTCGCCCGTGCGCCACAGTCCGTCGCGGGCCCACGTCAAACCCGCATACTCAGCATCAACTCGTCGGATCGCCCAACTCTCTACTCACCTTCCAACACTTGCTCGTTAGTCGATCGTCTCGACCGCGCTAACTCCAAAATTCATAGAGAGCGAATTAATTGCGCTTTCGAAATTTGCATGCGTATGCGCGATACCCGAGTGGGAAGGAAGAAGAAGGAAGGAAGTGCCTACGACTACATGGCCTGGCCGTGGCGTGGGGGACATAGCCTCTCTCCATACATCGATCCTGTCATACAAGCGTTTAGGCCAATGGGATAGGGGAAGAATCACGTGCACGTAGGAGCGCCGCAAAAGATATCAAGAACGGGAGGATTAGAGTTGCAATTACGCCCGCCAAAACAACAATTACAGTTACACGCAAGGATTGAGGCACGAAAAAGTCAGAGCACAGATCCTTACGTGGCAAAGCGCATGCAAGCAAGAAGTGTCGCGCGACAAAAACAATGATGTGCCTAAATTCATAATCTAAATCCTAATTGCAAAAAGAAATTCCGAAGGAAAACAATATCGAGAATCCGCGGGGGCTCGACAGTAGTTGAAAATTAAAAAAAAAACTCCCGCTCAACGATCGCGCAAAAATTCCCCATTTCCCACAACAGAACAAGAAAAAAACTATGGCAACAATTATTTGTCACGCTCGCTAAGGCGCGATCAACTACCAACCGTCGTAGGATCAAACCAGCCTCAATTCAAAAGAGATAAGAAAAGCAAGGGCACCCATGCCATCCACCAGGCCATCTCGATTTAACTTGTTTCAACCCCCGAAATAGCCTTGCATAAAAAATCGCACGGTTACAGAAAACGGTTCGTCACATATGTGACGCCCAGGGGGTTCCAATCTTGAGCAAGCTCCTGCTTGCTCTCCCATCATCCGCTGATTCGTAGAACACGCCGACGATCGTTGTGGAGCTTACACGTGCCACTTACTGTGAGATAAGAGTGTGGATGTCATCCAGTGTGGCATACATGAGCTCCAAGCTTAGAGGTTGCCTCTTATGACGGGTGGAGGAGGGGAGTGAACTTGGGGGAGAGGTGGCAGAAAGCGACTCTGCTCTCGACCTCCAGTTGGGAGCCGAGTGTAATGGATGATCTGGTGGACGCGAGGGAAACGATGATCCTGGTGAGGGAGGGAGGCGAGATAATAAGGATAGAGGGTACAGAGGGTGCGGGGAATCGCGACTTTGAAATTCTCGTGATCTTCGCACGCGGGGAGGGTGTCAGAGATTATGCAATAGACGTCTATAGTATTGTATTCTTGCCATGCCGGGCTGAAGAGAAGAATGCGGAGGGAAAGGAGGTGGCATGCAGGAAGACAGTAACGATGAGACGAGTGCTGTAGAGTTGGTGGAAGAGGGAAGGTGGGAAAGGATGCCAGTTAAAAGGAAACAGGGGGCGACCCGCGAGTGGATATAGGGTGAGGTAATCAAGGGGACGGCGGGATAACGATTGGGGACGAAGCTCGAGCGCCCACATTTCCATGTATGCGAACGGTGGGCCACGGTGGTGGAGAGGATTGAGTCGATGAAGGACTTCTTCTACGGCGTCTGCTTCCGGATCCCTCTGCCGTGGAGACACCATCTCCCTCAGGTTCCTCCGGTGGCAGCTCGGGGTTGCGCACCGGATCGCCTTGTAACAGCCACGCTGTTGGTTCGTTCGATTCCTCCATTGGCCGTTTTCCTTTTGCCCTTTCTCTCCTCCTCTGTGTCAGTGCCTCGTCCTCTTCCTTGCTCGACTCGTTGGGGCCACCTGATTCGTCCGACCGACTTTCTTTCGACTCGGCCTCCTCTGACTCATTGTAGTCGGGATCGTCAGATCTGGTTTCGGAGCTCTTCTCTTCTTCCTTTTGCACCTTTTCTCCGCTCGTCTCTTCTCTCTCTTCCTCTGCCTGCTCTTCCCACACCTCCACCCTTCGAATGATCGGATTCCACAAGGTGAGATCGGTTACGTCAATGACCAGATAGTGGCCCGAGGAGGGGTAGTAGCAGTTGTCCCCGTCAAGCTCCGTACACGTGGACCACAACAGATGCGGCACCAACATACTACAAAAAAACTTGGGCTACTTTTCAGGTCCGAGCAACGTTTTCTTCGTTGAAGTAACATTTCCGGAAACGTTTATGCCAAAAGCAAAAGTGCATTGCATGAGCAACTGTTGTCCAACGTTGTGGGTTGGCATTAATGTTGCTCACACCACTACTGGCATTGGAGGACATGACAAGAACATTGTTAAAATATTTTCAGACCGTGTCTTACTTGCATTAGTAAGGGCTCGATGTTGTGCTAGACGGCCCCATGCCAGCATTGTGCTCGCTGGGCCCATGTCGGTGTCCCCAAACTTGCACCGTAAACTAGTAGGGAAAGGGGCAACATGCAATCCTCCTCTTCACCAAGAGAGTTAGCTAGCTATGCTTGTAGGGGTCCCCTATATAGCCTCACGAGTTGTAGTAGGTAGGTTATGAAAGGTGAATTTAAAAGAATTTGAGAGAAGGATATAGCATAGTTATTAAACCACCAGTACTCCATCAAAATATTGATGTCGGGCCTTAACATGCCCTTCATGCTAAACTTTGGCAAACTGCCAGTGCAATTTTTTTTTTTTTTTTTTCTTTTGGCTGGTGCCGACAACCATTGTGGTCCGGTACCCTCGAAGTCCGGTTAAACCGCAAGTACACGACCCCAACCTTGCAAATTTTTTTTGTCACCACAAGCAGACTCGAAGGGGCCGCGCGGCATGGAGCGCCGTTGAAAAAAACAATTAGCGACATGTGAAGTGGTGCGGGTTTCGTGCTGACACCCGCGACCCGATGCGTGGTGTACTGGTGCTTTAATGCAACACATTAACGTCAAGTGCCCATGGCTGATGTATAGGCCAAGAACTGGTGATTAAAAAAATGTAAAGAACTCCGCTCTACACTACCTACCTACCACTACTCCTACTCAAAGCATTAGAGGGAACCCCATAGCAGCCAGCCCGTGTTCTCAATGCCTCAAACGAGGGAACATGTGGGGGTTGTGCCTGACCCAAAGGTGGGTGACACCGACCAGGGGACAGCCAATAGCATCAGAAACCATGCCAAGGGACCAATCCTTGCGCCTCCCCTCCGGTCCACTCCCCTACGAACATCAGTAGTCTTTGCTCAAACTGAATGCCGAACGGGGGATCCAGTGGTCTATCTCAGGTGGCGGCCGCCACGCATACCTACGGAGGTACATGAGGCTAATGGGGATTGAACCCGACCTCCTAAATGTGACTTTCGACCCTTACCAACTGAGCTCGGTGGGAAAAAAAAAAAAGAAGGAAAATTTGTGAAATGCCTCTGAAGTTTGTGTTTATTTGCAACTTGCCCCTCAGACGGCCGACTTACCCTGATATGCCCTTGGGCGTCTGAAGTTTCCTGCAGGCCCCTGTAAGTGAGGGACACAACGTTTCAGACTACCCCTATCAGACCGGCGGTCCTATTTCGCCTGCTGCATGTCCGATTTGCCCTTTTGCAGGGGATGCGTCTTCCCGGGAAGCCCTCAAGAAGGGGAGGCACTAAGAATTTGAATTCAAACCCCATACTTTCTAGGCCGCCGCGTAACAAAGGGCTGCATTCCATGTCGTGTCCGCTGCTGCAATCCACGGTGTAGGGCATTCTTCAACTACAGCGACCCACTTCCGCCTTGGATGTCCGCGGATTACGTTGTCCAAGGTCAGTGTTCATCCCCTTGTTCCACGCCTCTCTCTCTCTCACAAAAAAAAAAAAAAAAAAAAAAAAAAAAAAAAAAAAAAAAAGGTAATCAAAA